GGGGGGCACCGACCAAATAAGAGAACTACACCAAGTTGAAATGCATTTCACACTCTCCCCCATTCAATGGGAAATGGATGTTCTATCAATTTATTTGATGTCAAAAAAATTGTCCTCATGAAATTATGTTGAAATAAAATGAATAATAAGTAAATGGTCATGGAAAGGTTCTGTAAAATTGGCACTGTACTGCTCATATGTAAAAATATTTTTAAGGTTTTAAATAATGTTGATTAACTAGACTCGACTTCGGGCGGTTTCTCATTGTTTTTCATCCTATGCCTGTGATCCTGAATGGCAATCCTTAAATATTATGCTTAATGTATAAAATCCAAGGCTCTCGTTATTCTACACACAGTATTTGATTTTTTATCAACGCAAGTGAAGTGACTGTCCCATGCCTGTATCACACTCAACTGAACTTGCTAAGCTGAAAAGTTCACTGAATTATAAAAATACGTAGAACATGTATAGTACCTTGCCAACGAAATTCTTCAAACTGTTACTTTTTTAAAACAGTAGGTCCTTTTTAAATAGGCTACTAACTTGTGCCAATACATAACATGCACTGGCGTAATTAAGAGGCTCACATGTTGACAATTTGAAGATTTGGAGTGAAAAAAACTGTCGCACACAATGCTGCGGGTATACTATAGCCCAGCTAATGCATTCAGGCTGCAGGCCCTACCTTGTAAAACGTGAATGTGATGACAGTGTAATTACTGGAGCTTGCCCTGTCTCTCCGTGATTATGGGTAAAAGTAAGAAAACAAGAACTAATAACTCACCTCAGCAAGATCATTTGCAGCTTAGTAACATTTTAAAAGACTTAAACCATATTTTGCAGGGGCGGATCCAGAGCTTTTTTCAGATAGTCTTCTTAATTATCTTTGTTGATCCAATTATCTNCATTGATAATGATGAAAGAATGGGGAAAGGTTTGGAAAGAGACATTTCAACTTTAGTAGAGGAAAACGCAAATGCTATGAAAACATATGGGTGCAATCATCAATGCACAAAGTGAGCGCATTAAAGTACTAAAAGAAAAGTCAGCCCATCTGGCAAATGATCTGCTGGAAAAGGATAGAATAATAAATATCGACCTGAAAAGCCGTGTCAATATTCACTTAGATACTAAGTGTAGAAAGTGTGGAGTTAACTGTAGTTATCACTGCAGTGTATAATATGGACATTCTACATCAAATCCGTGCATATTCGATATTGTATCGACTAAACTTTATACATGATGTACATGTACATTGTGCGACAAGGTTGTTGTCTTTATCTCTTGCTTTACGCGAGGTTAAATATACAACTCAGTTATAATATTCCATATTATTTATTAACTATTTTCCAGTTGTTCCCCGCGCCGCTTTCTTTCCATTTTTGTCTCTGCCTCATTCAATCTCTAGCGGCCTTCTCTCCGTTTACATTACATGCAGTTGAATAGATTTCATAAAAGCATGCCAATCAACTCCTTTCCTCTACAAAACTCTCCCCGCTTCTTATTCACCCATGGCTCTTAGTTACTAACATTACATCATCTTCTGGGGCGATATTATCACCACGGTTTTGTTGTTGTTCGCGGCGGTAATATATAATTGATCAACACGAGTCAAGAGTCCGGTTATAGTGTTTTATTCTTTAAACTTACACTAGTTTTTACTTAAAGATTCAGTTTTCATAGTAACTTATACAGAATATATCATACTTTGATACTTGATACCGCAGTGTATCGAGTTTGAAGGAAGGTATGCCTATTATTTACTGTCCTATATAACGTTTATCTTTGGAATGCTTGGAGATGGTACTGTCTGGCTATATTCAGTTTTTCAGGTGTACATGCTACATGAGATGTACATGCTAGCTCTAAACCATAACATCAAAAGTGTAAATACTACAGAATATAGGTAAACTACATGAATATAATCGTTTTAACAATATGCCTCTCCGTAGGCATATTTTAAATTAAAATATACCTTTAAACAATCCTTCTTAAGCACTCCATATTTATCAGAAAGTCATGCAAAAATATAAGAAGTAAATAAATTATATATAACAAACTAACATATGAAACAGAAACACATTCGACATGAAACCAAAAATATAACTCAAAGGAAGGTAGACTGATTATTATTATTATTATTATTATTATTATTATTATTACTTGGAAATACACTTTCTCATGGACGCATTTCGTACTGAAATTGGCATTTACACTTTTATAATGTGTTGCCCAAGATTCTTTTTCTTTTTCCATTATGACAAACACCTGTGACTCTATTATGGCTCTAACACATTTTCTTATACAGTGTTTCATTTGTTTGTCATGTTAGATGTTGTTGGAAGGCACTACGTGAGACAATTTTTATTGGGACCCCTTCAAATAAACAGCATTCATCACAACGTTGCGACCAACGCATCGTCGATGACGAAGTACCTGTTCAGCTTCATACTTATCCACAATGTAGTGCTCCTCTTTCATGACTATAAGAAAAAAAGTTGTTTATAACATATGCAATCCACGGTTGTATAAAACTATACCGAGAAATAATATAGCCACATAAATGCGAAAATTTTCCTTGATGTATATATCATCAGTTTCATGTCATCAGCGTTACAAAAGAAAAATATACTATTAATACACCAATAACTGTCTGATAAAATATCGATAACATATAGCTGTAAGATTGCTAAGCTTAATATAGATATACTTATAATACGTCACGCACTTAATATTTATTAAACAATACTTAATATGTCGTTATTACCTCATGCAATAATATTTGACTAAAATTTTTTAACTTATAAAATATGAAGTATATAAATCATCAATTTCATGTCATCAGCGTTACAAAAGTTAAACATACTGTTAATACACCAATATCTGTCTGATTAAATATCAAATCGATAATCATAAGGTTGATAGGATGGATAAAGATATATTTATAATATTTGGTATTCATTACACAACACTTAATGTATCATTATAACCACATAACCACATAACATATGCTTAAATAAAATTCAAAGTTCATTTTCACACAAATGCCAAGACTTTCATATGGTCTAGTTCACTGCATCTTCCTTTTTGAATTATAGCACGGGAGTTCAGTTCCATTTAATGTCAAATTAGTCCTTCCAGACGGTGAATAATGTTTGTCATTTGCCATTCATTGTATAATGGATAATCGTTNCACAAAGTGAGCGCTTTAAAGTACTAAAAGAAAAGTCAGCCCATCTGGTTAATGATCTGCTGGAAAAAGATAGAATAATAAACGATCTGAAAAGCCGTGTCAATTTTCACTTAGATACTAAGTGAAAATGTGGAGTTGTCTGTAGTTATCACTACAGTGTATAATTCTACATCAAATCCGTGCATGTTCCATATTGTATCGACTAGACTTTATACATGATGTACATGTACATTGTGCGACAAAGTTGATGTCTTTATCTTTTGCTGTGCGCGGGGTAATATGAACAACTCAGTTATAATATTCCATATTATTGATTAACTATCTTCCAGTTGTTTCCCTCGCCACTTTCTTACAATTTTTGTCTCTACCTCATTCAATCTCTAGCGGCATTCTCTCCGTTTACATTACATGCAGTTGTATAGATATCATAAAAGCATGCCAATCAACTCTTTTCCTCTACAAAAC